ACATTTAAAGTGCCTGGAGCTTAAGCCGGCTGCCTATGTGTCAGATCTCCCTGGGGTGACTTAAAAGTGAAATCTGCAGGTAGACGAGAGGAGGCTGCGATAATACAGTATTTATGGCCAGACCACCGGCAGCGGGAGGAAGAGCAGGTGGTTAAAGCCTGCAAAGGGGGCTAGGGGCACGGAGGAAATTATGCAAGTAATCCAAGTTTAGAGCCCTGAAATGGGAGAACGGGGCAGGGGGAGGGACGGAGAGATGCGACAGGGGAGTAAGAGTGGGGACTTGGGGGCCAGCCCGGGGGCGCAAGCTGTTGGATGCGCGCACTCCGCTGTGGCAGCCCGGGGTTTGCCGGTTAAGATCCCGGGCGCGCACCGACGCACCACTTGTCGGGCCATGCTGTGGCAGGCGTCCCATGTAAAGTGGAGGAAGATGGGCATGAATGTTGGCCCAGGGCCAGTCTTCCTCAGCAAAAGGAGGAGGATTGGCAGATGTTAGCTCGGGGCCAATCTTCCTCACAAAAAAAAAAAAAAGAGTGGGGACTGGTTAGGGGGAGGGCTTGGCATACTCAGGAGGAAGCAAATGTTCAAGGAAGTGACAATTTAAAATAAAGTCATCTGTAAAATAAGTCAGTATGTGGGAGATATAGACATCGAGAGAGAGTTAGGACAGAGCATCCTCTTTGCTGCCTCGGCTGTGAATGGCTGTACCCAGGGAGGGATCAAGTGGCCAAATGACAAGCCCAACAGGGAGGCAAGAAGGACTAATAGGCAGTGGTTTTCCAGCTCCACGTCCATGTCTCAGTGTTTAATAAGTCAAACAGAGAAACAGCTGAGAGACAAGTTGTGTCTTGCATTAGCCCACTCACAGAGACTTTTGGGGAGGAAGGCTCTGCCAGGAGAAGAAAAATTAGAAAACATAAAGGAGTCATCTCTGACAAGGGGGGTTAAAAATGAGGCCAAACATGGGGCCAGCCTGGTGGCATAGTGGTTAAGTTTGCTTGCTCTGCTTCTGGCAGCCCAGGGTTCACAGGTTCAGATCCCGGGCACAGACTGAGGCACCGCTTATCAAGCCATGCTGTGGCAGGCATCCCACGTATAAAGCAGAGGAAGATGAGCACAGATGTTAGCTCAGGGCCAATCTTCCTCAGCAAAAAGAGGAGGATTGGCCATGGATAGTTAGCTCAGGGCTAATCCTCCTCACCAAAAAAAAAAAAAAAAAAGAAGAGGCCAAACATGAAGAATAATCTGCAGGCCTAAAAGGGAAAATTAGAAAACATATATGCCAAGAAATTGAAAATAAAAATCTAAAGATTTGCAAAGGAGGACATTAAAATAGCTCTTGAAAGTCTGTGGAGAAGAAAAGAATTAGGTGAAAACAGAGATGCTGTCTGCAGCATTTTCTACAACAGCCTGTTGCATAACCCTGTTAAATTCCTGGGACCAGAGATTGAGCTGAGGGAGAGAAGTGAGAACTTCCTGCATGTGCCACTGGGCAGGACTGGAGCTCCGAAAAGGGGAAGAAACAGCGAGAGTGGGGAAGTGTTCACTGGTCCTCTCAGAATGAAAAGAGGAAGAAGAGAAAATAATGGTGCTAGGGCTCTGTGAGACAGGAGACCTGCTGACACACACCAGGACTGGTCAGGAAGAAAAAACGCACACATACATTTCTAAGAAACTGATCATTTAGTATTTATGAGGGAATTTGGTTTTTATTGGTTAATGAGAGGCGCACTCTCTGTAATTAAAGTTCAGTAGGTGGTGTGACTCATCACGGTCCAGGAGAAGGCGTAAAGCACGAAGCATGAATGAATTATATTTAAGTATTGCAAGTAAAAGCCTTTTAAGTGTTCCAAGAGTCCCCAAGTTCTTTTGGCCCCTCCCCTACTGGCAGGAGCTCTTGGAACTTTCCAGTGATTCCACTTGTGGGTACTCTGAAGCTGTGTTTCTCAAGTGTGAGCCCCAAGGTCCCTGGACACCCTGAGGCTTCCCTGTTGCTCTGGGGAGAGGATGAGGAGGGATTATTTCAGGGGCAGTCTGCCTGACCACTGACCCATCCATTGCTCCTAACCCCCTCAGCTGCCACTCTTTGGAATTCCCTTATTGCCTTGGGGTGGGGACCTGGTGTAGTCAGGCCAAGCCATTGAGGTGAAGTGAACCAGGACATTCATCTTGTTTTTGCACCATATTGGGTTTTGGCTGGATCTAAAGCTTGAGCACGAGAGACGTTGCCTGTTGATCATCTTCCTTCTACTTCCTCCTCTGTTGTCTGAACAGGGCAGCCTACAGGAGGCAAACACCACCGTCAGGCTTCTCTTCAGGAACTGGATGTTTGAGTTGTAGAAGCACGCAGCCTAGCTCTTTATCCTCCCTTAACCCCTCCCCCAGCTACCCCCCCACTCACCAGTGGGTCTGACTGTACCTTGCTCTGGGAGCAGTGTGCCTTCTATCTGGGTGATACAACCAAAGCCTCAGGCCCCCTCTGCTCAGCCTCAACAATCAGCAAAAGGGCTGCAAGTTGCATCTCAGGCCCTGTGCACACTTGACCCCGGGGAAAGAACCCTGAGTACTTGACATTGGCACAGAGGAACAACTCCACTGAGGTGTACAAGCTCAGTGATAGGAATTCTCAGAGTTAGAAGTAACTTTTGCGGTCATCTAGGCCAGCATTCCACAAATAGTCCATTAGTGGAAAGTGGAATCAATTTAGTGGGACGCCACCAGAAATTGAGACAGTAAAACGAAATAGAATATGAGTGAAGCTGATATAAGATATAAAATGTATTTCTTACAAAGGATTGCAATCCAAAAAGTTTGAGAGACCTGATGTAGGTCAAGCAAACTCTGGGAGGCCAGTAGCTCAGGCCACTGGTGTCTTCTCTCCACCTGTCTCCCACCCCCTCCAACCACAAACATACCTAAAAATATGTCCATAACTTGCCCTGGTGTGTGGTTTAAGGAGCGCAGGATTTGTAGTCGAGGTCTGGGTTCAAGTCCAGCTGGGTGACTGGGAAACCATCTAGCCAGTGTTTCTCAGACAGTATCCCAGGAACCCCCTTTTCAGAATCATGAGTTGGAGTCCTTGTTAAAAAATATGCATTCCTGGGCCCTAACCCAGGCCCCCTGAATCATAATCTGTGATTGGGGGCTGGAGCAAGGGAGGGACCAGCAAGGGCATCTGCATTTTTGATCAGCTCCCTAGGTGATCTTCATGCACAGTGTTCTGACCACTGACCTTGACATTTCTGAGCTTCAGTTTCTTGATGCATAAGATGGAGATGGTCATACCACCATGTTATTGTGAGTATCAAGTGGAGAACTCATGTGAAGGTACTTTGCACACTGTAAAAGCACTCTGCAGACGTGAGGTATTACCACCCACAGCATCCTCCTCTAAATGAGGCTTTAGAGAAGATAGCACGAGGAGAGTGGGGAGTGGGGTCTGTGCGTTTAATGGGACCAGGCAAGTTAAGTGGAGAAAATGAGCCAATAAGCATTTTTTTTTCTGTGTCTTTCCATCTTCCGCCTTCTGACCTACAGATTTAGGTAGGTCAGATCTAATCCCGTCAGCAGTATGGTGCCCATCTGTGGGAGTGTGTTAGAAGCAGACTCTCTGCTCTGTGGTTGGTGGTGAGGCGTGTTGCAACCGTCAGTCTGATACATCCTGTTAACCTTTTTAAGCTCACTGTGACATTCAAGTTCTGTTAGTAGAGAACTCTCATAGTCCTGGATGCAGAGGTCTTGGTCCTGGTGGGACTGTTGATTCCCGACCTACTGTGGTGTTCGGGTGTTTGCCATTCAGCACAAGCTTCCCAGGATGTGTGTGAAACAGCTGCACAACATATTGGGACTATGTGTTCATATGGCTGCTGGTGCAGTCAGTGCAGGTCCTGACGGCTTAAATCAGACATGTGCAGACTGAAGTCAAGTGCCTAGAGGTGGTAGAGGGGCTTTCCCCCAAACCGCTGTTTGGGCTGAACCCAGAGAACAGGCTGCCGAGCCAGGCCTCTGGGCCTCCCCTTCCTGCGCTTCCCTCCCTCTCCCTCTGCCCCTGAGTGCAGTTGCTGTTCCAAGAGGGAAGCTGTGTGCTTACCTCTAGGAGACACATTAATAACTAAAGGTTTCTCCTAGGCAAAGTGAAAGTCTCTGTGTTCAGCTAGGAGAGGTTGTCCTATCTCCGGGTCTCTCTACCCAATTTTATTGTTTCTGCCCCAGGATCGGTGCAGTGGGAAGGGCCAGGCCTGGAGGGAGGGCAGGACGGAGCACTAAGCACGGTCCCTAAGTAAGATGTGACCCCCCTTTCTTCCCTTGCCACTCTTTCCCCTGGTCTCCAAGGGGAAACAGTTCTGTTCCCCTGCCAGATAAACAAGGTTCTGCTTCTGCTTTTGAGTTGAAGCCTTGTTCTTTGTGTTGCTGGCAGCCTCTGTTTTAAGCTAACGGCTCCAGTGAGGACTGGGGATGGGGAAGACTGCAGGGGTTAGAAGGAAGGGAGGTCAGCTCTTCCATTGTTCCCAAACATCACCTAGAATCAAGTGAGAGTGAGTGAGTTAGAAATGATGCCCTAGGAGTCTAAGGAGTGGTAGTGCAGGCAGTCCTGGGGCACAGGGTGGAGCCCTTGGAAGGAGTAACAGGACATGCTGGGGAGGGGTTTTAAAGGCACAATTAGGTGGAAGCTTGGCAAAGGAATAATGAGAAGAACTCCAACGGAACAAGAAGGAGTTAGAATCAAAGCCGTGGTCCTGGGCAGGCTCCAGACGGTCACTGCAGCTGGAACGGCTGGGTGATTCGACGGCACTGTTAATTATGTTTTTTTTTCTTGTTTTCTTTCCTGTTCCCAACTCTCTTTTCCATCTTCGGCCTTCTTTCCACCCTGAATCCCATCTTTTCCCTTTTTTCTTCCTCCTCCTCCCCTGCTCTCACGCATCCTTTGTCCCCTTCCTCTCTCACCCACTCATCTCCTTCCTCCACGCCCTCACATTTTACTCCGCACCCCCATCACCTCCAAGCTCTCTGGTGGATGTGAGTTGACCGTGGTCCTCCAGGACTTCAATGCAGGCCACAGCAGCGAGCTGACCATCCAGGTGGGACAGACGGTGGAGCTGCTGGAGCGGCCGAGCGAGCGGCCGGGCTGGTGTCTGGTGCGCACCACGGAGCGGAGCCCCCCGCAGGAGGGCCTGGTCCCCAGCAGTGCCCTGTGCATCTCCCATTCCCGAAGCAGCGTGGAGATGGACTGCTTCTTCCCATTGGTGAAAGGTATGGAGGACAGAGGGGGAGGGGACGTGCACCAGCAGGCGGCTGGGGACGCTGGGGACGCTGGCCCACTCGAACTGAAGACCATTGTGGAACTAACCTGTCTCGCGAAACCATTTTGACCTTGTGGGATTTCTCTGGGATCTGCTTGCAAAGAATGGGTTGGGACCATGAAGAGAAATAGCTGTGTGACTTTGGAAAAGTCATTTAACCTTTCTGAGTCAGTGTCGCCTTAAAAATGAAGGTTGAATTAGATGATCTCTAAGATCTCTTCCAGCTCTCCTGTTGTATCACCCTTCGTTCAGAAAAGTCTTCTTCTACCTATGGCCGTAGCCTAGACTCATCCTTTCTCCACTGACCCACTCTGCCTTCCACAGGTACCATGGGCTCCCTGACCCCAAACCCCCAGCCATGCTCATGTTGACACAGGGCCACCGAACAAACCTAGGGACAGTCGGGCTCGACCCTCCCCTCAGCCCTGCCAGGGTCTGAGACACTCATTCATGTGCCTTTGGTGGATAAGTTATTCAAGTCTAGGCTTCTGTTTTATATAAGCTCTGTGCTTGTTTTATGTAGGCTCTCTGCTTGTTTATTCACTTTTCTCATACCAGGGAGACTGAACTACTTAGAACAGTGATTCTCCAGGGTGGGGGGGGTGGTCTCTGCATTGGCAGCATCAGCATCCCCTGGGAACCTGTTAGAAATGCAAATTCTCAAACCCCACCGCAGACCTGCTGGATCAGAAATGGCCAGAGTGGGGCCCAGCGGTCTGTGGTTTAACAAGCTCTCCAGGGGACTCCGATGCACACTCAAGTATGACAACCAGTGACTTCAAAAGTCAAAGCTGGCAGGGGCCTTGAAGTCACTCGTTTTACTTTGAGGAAACTGAGGCCCAGAGAGTGACTTGGTTCTAAGCCTTTTTCTGTAACTGGTCAGATCATCTGAATCAGGTCACCTGCTATGCAGACCCATACTAGGTATTTTTGGGATGGGAAAAGGGAAGGGACCTGGTTCTGTTGGGAGGGAGGGACGAGAGTCACCACAGACGCCTGCTGCAGGCTTCCTAGTAGATACCATGAGTTACGTGTCTGAAATGTTCCGGTTTCTGGAATTCCATCTTCTCCGTCTCCAAAGCCTGACTTCCTCCTTTCGTCCACCAGGTGGCGATAGCAGGTTGCATTATTAGTGCTTCCCCAATTCCATCGGCTCCCTGGGTTTTTTCTACCCAGAGAATAATATGAACTAAAACTTGATTCTCCTCCACATACACACGCCAGTGCTCCCCTCCCCCAGCTTAGCCATCACCTGCTTTTCCCTCTTTTTCTCTGAGGACTAAGGAAGAACTGTGTCAGAAAGTTGTGTGGAATTTGCAATTGCCAGTACAGCTCCTCAGTCCTTTGAAGCAGCCACTAGAGAAACTCAGGGAAACTCAGGAATATGGTTCTATTTGATGTCTAACCAAGGGGGAAACTGGGGCGCAAAAGGTTAGAATTGTGAGGGTGAAATGAGATCGTAGAGACAAAACAACTAGAACAAGTACCCTGTACTCAATATATTTGGTTGTCATGATAAGTTATAGTTATTATATGATTTGTTGTAGATTATTCAGCAAAATAACTGCAAACTCCCACAAGTCCAGTCTAGAGACCCCATCTCCAGAGACAAAACCAAGGACAGCAATGCATTTGCTGGGAAAGGTGAATTTGTCACAGCTGTCCCAGTGTGGGTCGTTCCATCAGGAAGCACTTAGCTTCAAGAGAAGACCTGAGACTTCTTGAACTAGGCCCGGCCTCCCTAGCCTGTGGCTGGGTAAAACGTGCATCCCCTTCCTGCCCCCGGCCCAGCTGGGGTCCCTATGTGCACAGCTTGTCAGGAGTAAACCCAAGGCAGAGAAGCAGAGAGCTGTCAGAGTGGATCTGTGATCCAGAGGCAAGATGGGAGGTGAAGGCATTCAGGATAAGAACTCTAGAAGGAGGGAGGTTAGTGGAGAACTAACTGAAAAGGGGAGCTGAGGACAAGGGATGGAAAACAGAGACAAGAGAAAAAGCAGGGAAGGAGGCTGTCACAGAATTTTCCAGCTAACTCCACCAACCAGCATGGGCTATCACCCATTTCCTTGGCTCTCTTTGTTTGCAGGTTGGCTCCTCTCTCTCCAAGCATAGGCCAGTTAGCTCTCACTGCCCTCTCACCTGTGTGGTCTCAGCATATGTTGGTGCCCGACTCCTAGCAGTCAGGACCTAAGTCACTATTCTCCATGGAGCATCCCTTAGGGCCCTAACAAGGCCTCATCTGAAGTATATGCACTCACACACATGCCCCAGCTTGGAAAACCCGCTCCATGTTTCCAGGGCCTGCCCGGAATGTTGGCTTCTTAGCAGAAACTCCATAAACTGTTCCTCCTCCCTTCCAACTGGCTGTCCACTGGCCACCTGGCCTTTTCTTCTCTCAGCAGTGGTTTGTCTCCAGTGGGTGTATCACCTTATAAATTATCCACAGCTGGATTGAGAATGAAACCTTCCTCTGGGGGCTGTGGAATAGGACAGGGTGGCCTCATGTGGTGTCACTGGAGGTCAGAATCTTTTTCTTTTTCAATCCTTAGAAGGGAGCTGCTCCTCCTAACCTTTGCAGAGAGCATCAAGGCAGTGCTCCTGCGGCTGTGAGAGGCAGGGAAGTAGCTATATGGCGTGCTGAGTGCCATGTGAGCGCTCAGGCCATGACCATCACCCCCAGAAATGGAGGCAGAACCGCAGAATGTTAGCACCAAGGAGGTGACTTGGAGAACCACTGGCCCAGGGTTCAGAGAATCACCTGGAAGTTTTACCAAGTGGCAACACCCAGGCCCCACCTACAACAACTGGAATCAGAGTCTCCAGGGTGGGGCCTGAGAGTCGGTGTTTTTTAACTGCTCCTTAGTGGATCCAAGGTACAGCCAGGGTTGAGAACCACGGCACTAGCCCAGTTTCCTCTCTTCCAGGGGCACTCTCGGGCATAGGAAAGTAAGGTGACTTTCCTGAAGCCACAGGGAGAGTTGATAGCAGAGCTGGGGTGGAACCAGGGCGCCCTCCTCCTCATACATGCTGCCCGCTGGGCTTCCGGGCGGCTGTAGGGCTCCTCTCCCATCTTTCCCTCCTATAATTCTTTTTTTTTTTTTTGTGAGGAAGATCAGCCCTGAGCTAACATCCATGCTAATCCTCCTCTTTTTGCTGAGGAAGACCGGCTCTGAGCTAACATCTATTGCCAATCCTCCTCCTTTTTTTTCCCCAAAGCCCCAGTAGATAGTTGTATGTCATAGTTGCACATCCTTCTAGTTGCTGTATGTGGGACGTGGCCTCAGCATGACCGGAGAAGCAGTGTGTTGGTGCGCGCCCGGGATCCGAACCCGGGACGCCAGTAGCGGAGCGCGTGCATTTAACCGCTAAGCCACGGGGCCGGCCCTCCCTCCTATGATTCTATGCAGCCCGGAGACAGTCACCTGTTGTTTTCTCCTGATATATCTGTGCCAGGACTGAATTTGGGGCTGTGTGACAGAGTGGGGGGCCTGCCTTTCCTATTACTTTCCCGCCACCCTGACACTGTACGGTTCTCACTGGGGCTGGGCCCTGCGTGACCCGTCATTCTTCTTCCTAATCCGCTTTCCCTTCCTCAGCAGTAAGTGGTGGAGGGCAGCACCACCCAAGGCACAAAGACTATACAGCAGTGGTCTTCAACTCTGGGTGCATCTTAGACCCACCTGGAGGAGACTTTTGAAAATACTAATGCCTCACATCCCATCCCAGACCAATTAATTCGGGGCTACCAAGGGCCTGGGCATCAGTATTTTTTGAGTTCCTTAGTAATTCTGATGTTCCGTGAGGGTTGAGAGTCATTGCTTTATGGGTTTGGCATCCCCAAATGTCAGGCTTAGGAGATTCTTACAGATGCCTTGCAAGGGGTGAACATGCAGTTTATATAAAGAACTCCTACCGCTCAACAACAGAAACACAAATAATTCGATTTAAAAATGGGCAAAGGACTTGAATAGACATTTCTCCAAAGAAGATATACAAATGGCCAATAAGCATATGAAAAGATGGGCAACATCTTACATCATTACATCTGGCATTTTACAATCATTAGGGAAATGCAAATCAAGACAATGAGATACCATCTCACACCCATTAGGACAGGACGGCTATTATTAAAAAAAAACACACACACACACAGAAAACAGGTGTTGGTGAGGATATGGAGAAATTGGAACACTTGTGCACTGCTGGTGGGAAAGTAAAATGGTGAACAGCTATGGAAAACAATATGAGCTTCCTCAAAAAATTAAACATAGAATTACCATATAATCCAGCAATTCCTCTTCTAGGTATATACCCAAAAGAATTGAAAGCAGGTACTCAAAGAGGTTTTGTACATCCATGTTCATAGCAGCATTATTCACAATAGTCAAAGGGTAGAAGAAACCCAGGTGTCCATCAATGGATGCATGGAAAAACAAAATGTGGTAATATATATACAATGGAATATTATTCAGCCTTAAAAAAGAAGGAAAATCTGACACATGCTACAACATGGATGAACTTTGAAGACATTATGTTAAATGAAATCAGCCAGTCACAAAAGGACAAAAGCTCTATGATTCCACTTATGTGAGGTACCTAGAGTAGTCAAATTCATGGAGACAGAAAGTGGAATGGTAGTTGCCCGGGGCTGAGGGAGGGGAAGAATGGAAAGTTAATGTTCAATGGGTACAAAGTTTCAGTTTTGCAACATGAAAAAGTTCTGGAGATGGATGGTGGTGATGGTTGCACAACAATGTGAACATGCTTAATGCCACTGAACTGTAAACTTAAAAATGGTTAAAAGGGTTAAAAAAAAAAAAAAAAAAAAAGCATTGATCCTGGGTACTTCTGCCCCAGGCTCCAAAAACCGGTCTAGGTTCTTCTCCATCCACCTATATAGGACATTCGTGTTCCTTTTCTTTTCCTGTACAGTTTCTTCCCTGGCTCTAGCTG